CGACAACGTATAAACTAATGAAACCACAAGTGTTAAAATTTATATATAGACCATGTACGCTCTTTCACTAAAACATCGTAAAAAGGCAAGTTTTTATACCTTCTCTGAACGGTTCTGCCCAAGGCGACATTCTTCTAAAGGCAGGTGGCTGGTCGAAGAACCTCTCTCTTTGCGAGAAACCTAAAAGAGGAAAACCTGGCAAAAGTAAGAGGCGATAAAAAACGTTACATAACTTGACAAAAAATATACATTTCCATATGATATTATTATTAAGCAAAATGTAAAAAGTGAATATAGCAAATTATAGTATAGTATTAATCCGCTATAACGTGGGTTATATTTTCAAGAGACAGAAATAAACTGGCGTTTGAAGCAACTTCCAGTATTTCAGAAAATTTTGCAAGGTCTGTCAACATATATGGTTTAAAACAAATTTAATAGCAAATTACTGGAACACATTTCAGGTAATAATAAAGGATTCACACGACGAATACCCACGTGTGAAGTAAGTGAGTAGTCTCGTACTGATGCTGCGGTGCTGCAAGAAGAATGGAAGTCTTTACACCGGACCGTATCGCAACAATGCACAGCCCGTGGTTTCCAGCGACCGACCATTTAAGCGTGGCAATGGTATTTAAGCCTGTAATCAACAGGACGCAAGATCGCGCCACTGAGTTGGGCTAAACAAGGGTATGTTGGAGCACCAAAACATTTGGCTACAATCCATTGGCAAACAAACTACAACACTGATTCTGATTTAAATACAAGCTACCTTAGCTAAATCAGCGCTTTAAAAATATTCCCATATTTCAGGCTGTTAAATTCACACATCTCTTCCTTCTGTCAAATAATTACGATACGATTTTGAGACAATACGCATAGCAGCATTGGGTCCTTTCCTCAACCAATCGGAGAACGATGGCAAAGTGGTAGAGCGCGGCTTCGAATTCCGGTGGTATTAAGTTTGAACGCCGAAATGGGAGAATTTATTTTTTTAACTGCAAATTCCTTCGAGTGATGAATTTGCTTACCGCATCCAGCCGAAAAACGAATAGTAAGTTGCTGAATTGGGAGCAACAAAGACGATATGGTATTCCGGTTCAGTCATACGCTTTCGAATGCGAGCATTTTATAGGGCTGCAATTCGTATTGACCCTCGGATAGTTGACTGTCAACATAACCATAAGTGCAGGATAGTGTATTCCACAAAAAACAGCACCATGGTGTCGGTCTACGCAGAGCGAACATAGAGATCGCTCAGACCGAGCATCGCAGTAATTTACATAAAACCTGTTTATGAAGAAAAGAAGTAAAATTCTTTTAGAGGGCAGCATAAGCTGTACATCTGATTTACTCTACTATCATTAACTGCCATTAATTGTTTTCCGCTAGTGTTTTAAACTTAAAGAAATGATGAAAATTTAAAATAAACGTTAAAAGCATGGCATTAAAAAAATTTTATGGAACATTTGGTCAGTGGGGCGTTTTCATGCTGTAAATCGTTAACGGGTCCGTACAATCTGCATAAAATAACTTTCGCATTGTCAATCCTTCGAAATTAAACGGCGAAGCACCATTTTCTTGCATTTAGCAAACTAGCGGACCGTTTAAGCGGGCCACCGCTTCATAGTATTTTAGCAACTACAGTACAATGACACAAAGCCGCACCAATTTGATGGGTGGAAAAAAATGAGTTTATTTTTGGTATACGCGCCTAGATAATGAGGTATATTCGTTGGTGTTCGAACGTTTTTATATGCGCTCATGCAATGCACGTAATAAAATATTATGGAGCAGTGACCTCTCCAAATGATTATCTAGGCAATCCGGTGGATTGACAAGAAGGTTATTCTTACCGACAGTATTTCAAGCTAGCAGTTTGCTATCAAACACATAATAACAGCGTTTGTTTTTGGAATAGTATAAAATACTGTTTGCCGTGTGGAAATTCGACTCCAACACCTCACCGAACTTCTCCCAGGAATCAGCCTTGGCT